AAACACCTGGTCTCTTAAGTCCAGCCCGTGTGCTTGCATCCTAGTGTCTGGTTTGTTGCCCCATCACGTGAAGGATGTGTAGGAGCTCCAGGTTGCAGACCCACATGGCCCTTCCAGGGGAGCTGCTGTGGGTTCTCCGTGCTGAGCACACACACGAGCATTGCACGCCGACGCTTACACACTAGTACAAGGTGTGTCGGAAAGCCTAGGCATTGTAGCAAATGAGAGGCATCGTGAAGACTTTTGTATTTTTTTATGAAAGAACTAACGTTTTATTATGCAGAAAAGCTATAAATGCATCATTTGTCGAAGTGATTGTCACGAGGAAAATCCTGCTGAACATCAGGTGTTCTTTCCCCACCTATACTTCTTCAGCAAACGCCTCGTGATGGAATATTTATTTTTGTCAGTGTGAAGATTACAGAAAAGCTAAGCAGACGCAATCTTAGTATCTTGTTGATTACACTCCAGAAAGAAAAAGAAATGGCAGAACAGTAAGCCTAAATGCCATTTGCTATAATTACCTCGTGTGAAATGTAACTGGTAGCTGTCAAGCTTTGATTGAAACTCACTGAAGGTTAGCGCCAGCTGCATGCATTAATTGTCCCTGGGAGCAAACGCGCAAAACTGCAGCCGCCATTTGGAAGCAAGCTTTTTTGTATTTAATTTGTTGTGAAGTATTTTACGATTGAGTTCGGATGAATGCTGCTGTAACTTCCAGTTTATTTATTTATTTATTTTTGCATCATTTCCAACAGACAAAGTCCTGTTATGTTAAATCCGAGGTACTCTGTGTAAGGGGTGTTTCCATATTTCATAGGACTGAGTATTTAGAGAAAGGGAACTTAGTATTTTAAAGAAGTGTTTTGAAACATTTATCTAATAAATATTTGAATTATTAATACTTAGCTTTTTCTCCATATATGAAACCCAGTTTATACAGTGGCATTTTTTAAGGTGGTTTGATTGTATTAGAATCTTCATAAAGTTTATTTCTTTTGAAAAGTGTTGAAACAGACCTATTGTCTATAGCAAAGTGATGAATATTAGCTGGCGAATTTATTTGTGTACGAGTATGTTTTCGTGGGTGAATAGTTAGCGTTTGATTTGACAGCTGCCACGTACAGCGCCAGATACGCTGCACCAGCGTCTGTCACAGACTGAGTCTGTCTTCACATTGATCGCAGCCTGAATTGAGCAAGAACTCTGTGCAGAGCCCAGAGAGCATGTGTTTATTCCTTGACTCCCCTGCAGGGAGTGCTGCTCCTTGGCCGCCTAGCATTCTCCTTTCTGAAAACACTCCAGTTTCCAGGAGAGGAACTCCGGGCCTGTTCCCGCTAGGGAGGGAGCCGGAGTCCCCCCTCCCGCCCTGGGGCACGGAACCTCGCCGCCCCCGGGTGTAGGGGCTCCCCCACGGGCCTCTCCCAGAGCACGACCCGCTGCGGCCCAGCCGGGTGTCCTGACTGGTGCCTGCCCGCTGCCTTCCCGAAATCCCCCTTTCCTTACGCTGATCAGAACCAATTTCAGTTGCTTATCACCTTCACCACATTTTTAATTGGTGAAAGACGCATATCCTTCTCAAGTCTAAGGTGATACTTTGATTTCAGTGAAAGTGTCCAGTTGGTGGCAGTTTCAGACCCCATTGCTCGGAGACGGACCACACTTGCCCTGTAAAGCCTGCCAGGCGATCCCTTTTCGTCTTCTCTTGGTTAGTGTTTGAGACATAATTCATACAGGTCTGGATAGCAGGCTGTAAAGGTATTTGGCGGTATTTTTCTGTTGGCTGAATTATGTTTAAAGCTGTAGGAATCCTTCCCAGTTCCTGAGTGTTAAAAGCCAGTTAGTTGCTGGACGGTGTGTATCGTAAAAGGGCAGATGAAATAAAATGTTTCTTCAACTGATTTTTTATTTAATGTAGGTTTTTTTTAAAAAAGCAAGCAAAGTATGTCATTTTCTCTTCTGTAGTTTTAAAGCAACAGTTTTAGGGTCAGAAGATGACTAAACTTGAAGCATTACATTTTAAAACTCACTCATGTAGAATAAAATATACCTTTATCATTGAAGACAACTGTTTTCTGTAAAAATTTAAATGTTGCTGGAAGAGCTATGTATTGAAAATAAATTGCGTATTTTCTCACTCATTATGAGCTAGTGAAATGGAAAATTTGAGTATTAATATTTAGATCTGTCACTGCATGTTTTTTGTATTAGATCACTCTCTGACCCTGTCCCGTCTTGCTGCATTCAGCCCTCTGGACAGTTAAGCATTTCTGTAGCGAATCCCTCTCTTACGAGGGAAGTTTCTGTGTTTGGAAAGAGTTAACTGTCTGAATCATATCACTGACTAGGATAGACCTGGGGAAAGGCTAGCGCGGCCAGCTTCTTGCTTTGTACTCATTCTTAGTAAATACATGCTTCTCTTCTGTTCTCTGTGCTTAGATGTAGTCTGCACAGGATATTGTAACAGTTACACGTGGGTTTACCTCGGAAGACCTAGATTTGGCAATGCGTGTGCTAGACAGGTTTCAAGAGACCCCGACTTTCAAAGGAAAGCTGTGAAATAGTTGCAACTGGTATATTAGCATAAACAGTAGGAACTTGGAGTTTTAAAAAATGTGTGTGTGGCGTGTACGGAGCGTTACGTGTTTCTCAGCGCAAGCGTGTGCGTGTGCTCTTCGTGTATCCGCGGGTTTTGCGAGCGCCTGGATTCCGTCCCCTTTCTGACGCAGGAGTGAGCGATGTTGGAGTGGGCGGCACCTGGAGGGTGTCCTTGTCGTGGAAGTGCTCCACAGGATGGGGAGGCCCGTGGGGCAGCGCTAGAGCTTAACTTAATCCGAAGTTTGGATGAGCTACTTCGTGCTTTCAAGTACAAGAGAAAGGAAAACAGTGTTCTGTGCGTAAACTTTTAACGGTAATGTTGCTGGGAAGAGGTTGACTCCGTGGATCTTTAGTCCTCGTCTGAGGGCCGCCTCAGAGTCTGCTGGACTTGATGTTTGAAGACCAGACTGTAGTTAAAGATGGGAGTTAGTGGGACA